TGCCTTACTTTCAATTTGTTTATTGCCAATCTAAATAACCAAGCTTACAGAATTATACAAGGATGAAGACACTTTTGGTGCCCAAGAGTAATGAAGTCATGAATAGACTACCTAGTTCTGGCCTCACCACAAATTCTGGTGTGCAAGCCAATGTACATGCCAGTCACATCTTCAGGTGCTGTGTGTTCTGCATTGGTCTGAAAGAAGCTATATGCATGCACATAGGGCTCCCATCATGGAGACAAGAACCCCAAGTGATCACTGGAGGAAGTGTTAACAAATCATGACTGATTTTACCCATTGATTTCAGTGCAGCCTAAGTGCAAGCAACTTAGCCTGGATCCAGTGCAATATACCCACCAGTTAGGTTTATAGCATATCACAACAGAATCAGCAGCTATATTTGAACTGAGATTCTCTAGTATTAGGCTTAAGTATTTCTATTTCATATCTATTTCAGAGGGTTCTGGCAAGTTGTGAACTCCACATTTCCCTTATCATGCATTGAAGGGCCCTTGAAGGACAACACATTCATGTGGCAATGCTTTCCTTGAATTGCACCACTTCACCCTGCAGTTGAAGGGTTACATGCTGCTCCACAAAAGAGCCATGTCAGGGAGAAGCCTAGGCAGAATCCTTCTCCTGACATGCTAGTGTGGAAGTCATCCAACATGCAATACTACACCTACAGTATAAACTGGGGAAGGATGAAGTGAATGGTGATGTATTTTTGCTTTTGCTGCTTGCTTTACTTGTGATCATAAATTTTATGATGCTAGTTGATTTTGTTTTGAATTTTTATTGCTAATTTTAATGTTACTGTTTGGCACCTTGTGACTGTTGAGTGAAGGGCAGACAACAGATACCTCAAATATATAAAATAAGTACGGAACCACCTTCTTTCACTTCTGACTGGATACAACTAGACTCCAGACATTAGGAAATTAGGGGCAAGGTGAATGCATTTCCTATTGGTTTTAGGAAGAGGGGTCCTACTCTCCTTACTCTACTTTTACTAAGGGGAAAAAATAAAATGGGAAGATGGACAGGAGTCGCAGGTGGAATAAGGGCAGCTGCTCTCTTCCAATCTCCATGATTTCCTCTCAAAGCAGCAGAACAACTGCCAACTCCAACAGCAGTGGCTTGTAGGGTCTATACTGCCTGGCAGAACTGGCAGACCACACACCTTTCATGCCATTTATTGCTGGATAGGATGACCCAGAAAGAAGGAAATGGCAGAAAACAACCCATGTCCATGGGTTGCAGGAGCATCCAGATCAACACTCAGCTCAGTGCTGCCGCAGTGGTTGGTGACTCATTTCTGAATGGTGTGGAAGACAATATTTTGTTCCACAGAACACATATTGCCTATGTGTGGTATATAGGATTCCAGCCTGAAGCATGCAGCATTATTATTTTTTATTAAACGACTTATCTGTGTGAGAACACCTTTTACGTACCTTCTCCCTCCTTTACCTCAGCCTCCATTTAACATTTAAATAGTGTAGTAGGTGGACCAGAAGGATTACTATAATATTACCATATTAATTACACACCGTGAATGACATAACTGAAAGGGGTTGACATGACACATTGCTTCAGCAAACTGGCCTCCGTGAATGATTCAGCAACAGTAGCTGTCAGAGAAAAATAGCTCTAATTGTCTGAAACTTCAGCCATGTGAAAACTTCAGATATTTGTGAGTTACACATATAACTTGGCAGGGAAGTTCTCTGTAACTCTCTCTCTCTCTCTCTCTCTCTCTCTCACACACACACACACACACAGAGAGAGAGAGAAGGCTCAGTTATCTGAGCAGCATGATACACATGTGAGACAAATGGTTTCTACAAATGTATTGTAGAGAGCAAAGGCTGTCTTCCAGGTATGATCAGAACTGTAACGTGTGCCCTCTGGTTCCTCTTTTGACTTCCTAATAAACTCTCTAAGCGTTATGGACCATAATGCTCCTTCAAATTAATTCAGGGGTGATTTTGCCCCATGCTTCCTCAGCGCAGGATGAGGCATCAGGTACCCCATCCTATGGCGAGGGCCACCAATCAGAGAAGGGCAAGCTTGACTTTATAAGATGGCTCCACTCACAATTCAGTTCTCTTCATCTGGCACCCACCATCTCATTTGTCTGTGTGGGTTTAGTTGGTCGCCTTTTGGTGGCTGAGTAGGGGGTTTGTTGTTGTTTTTCGTCTCACAATTGTCCTTCTGGGATCATCTTTTTTTTGGGGGGGGGCTTCTTCACTCTGCTTAATTTGACGAGGATATGGTGGTGTAATAAGTTTATTTGAAAGTTTGGTCACACATGGATAAATATGGAGAGCAGGGAAGGTGGATCAGATAAGCTGTGGTGAACACCTGGCCCAGGCTTCCTCAAACTTGGCCCTCCAGATATTTTGAGACTACAGCTCCCATCATCCCTGACCACTGGTCCTGCTAGCTAGGGATCATGGGAGTTGTAGGCCAAAAACATCTGGAGGGCTGAGTTTGAGGAAGCCTGACCTGGCCATATTCCCTGGCTGAAGTGATGCCTTCCCAACCTTCTACTTCTTGCCAGCCAGTCTGAGAGAGAAAGGGAGAGGAGCATCACTTAGGTCCAGGAGACTTATCTCCTCTGGACAGCAGGTGTGGGTTGGAGCAGCCAGGTCCCTCTCCCTCCCCACCACCATTTGAGCCAGTAAAGAAAGGTATGCATTAGTCAACTTTACTGATGCAGGCCAGCCCTGCCCTCGCCGGTCCTGGAAGGAGCCTTTTAATAATAATAATAATAATAATAATAATAATAATAATAATAATATCTTTATTGTCATTGCCCCCTTCGGGGACAACGAAATTACTTTAAAAAGTCCCATACGCTCAGAGACATTGCGCCTGTTCATTGGGGGAGATAGGAAGCCCAGAGCACTTGTTCTTTAGATGTCCCTTTTATGAAGAGGCATGTAGTAAGACCATTGATCCCCTACTGGTGAGGCTTGCTGACCTCCCGGAAAAGCAAAAATTCAACCTTTTCCCGCTAGGCAAAGATCAGAAGACGACCCGGATGGTCGCCGGATTCTGTGTACAGATCTGTAGGTGCAGACCATCTCCCAACTCAAACTAGTTTGTTAAGAAAATCCCCAAACTCGGTTCTATGGCTGACTCTGGGTCAGCTCCCTGTGGTAGTTTATTGTTGTACATTGTTTTTAAATTTATTGTTGTACATTGTTTTAATTGTTTGTTTTCCTTCTGTGACTGTACCCTCAAGTGTGTTTTATAAGCTAGTCTCCGACCGTAATAAATTATCTATCTATCATCTATCATCTATCTATCTATCTATCTACTGATGCAGGACCTGGAATCAGGGTGGTGTCACCCAAGTAAGGAAGCAAGTTGCTTCCCCACAGTTTTCTTCAAGTTAGTTTTGCCCATAGGACAAGACTTAGATTATAAGCCGGCCCACTGCAGATCCTTAATTAAAATGTGACCCTTCAATCCTAATTATTGTCAGGTGTCTTCATCCCAGGAGCATGGGAGCAATACAACCATGGTTGCAGGCTCCTTGGCTCTGCCTTTCTGTGTCCTTGAAATCAGAACCCCCAAAGAGGCATGGGTCAGGAAACCAGCAATTAAAACACAATATTAAAACAACTTACAAACACAGAAATAAGGAGGGTTCTAAATATAGACATCTCAGGTGTAAAAGGCGAGGGTAAAGCTCTTGTGCAGCACCCAATGAAGGCTATGAGATCCGTCCAGGAAAAAGCCTCTGCCCAAAGGGCTTTCAATTACAAGAGATGTCAAGGACCAACAATAAGCAATGGTGATGTTCCTGAAAGTTGGGGAGAGTGGAGTAGCGGTTAAATTGAGGTAAACATAAATACTTGCTCCATTGCAATTAAAAAAGCAACAGTTTATATCAGAACAGGTGTCAAGCTTAAAGAATCCGTTCAGTTTTTCTCTTACTCAAACTGGAGCTTCTTTCCTTTGCTGTGTGTACACATGCATATGAATGCTCCTCTTCCAACAATTGCCTTTAGCAACGTGATAAAACTTCACAGAGGTCATGCCACCCTCTAACCTTGAAACTGAGATAGGGCGTGATGATTTTAAGCTGCACAGTGTTTATTCCCTCCCCCCCTGTCATGACAGACCCTAGCTCACGTTTGATTCCATGTAATGAACCTTATATATTCTCCTCTAAGCAATGGCAAAAGGAAAGGTGTGCATTTAAGATAGTGCATCCTGTAGCAATGAGGCTGTTTTAAAAGATTGCAGGTTCCTTTTCAAAAGTCTGTCTAAACTGTTTAGTTACTAGGAGTACAGCCAGATACTATATGCCTTTGAACTCAAGGCATACAATCCCAGTGTGTCTCAGATTCGCCCATCTATTATGCCTCATTCTGCCAGACTTTTTATTTTAAAATGTCACTCCCTTCACTTGCTACATTTCTGACATTATTTAGTTAATGTGCTTTGTGACAAGCACAGTTTGTTTTATATGCTGTCGTCTCAATGACCTCTGCAGTGTCATGGTTGCTCAAGTACTGTATCAGTTATTGTTGAAAATGGTACAAATTTAAATATGTTTTTTACCATTCACCCCAGATGCCTTCCACAGTCAGCACAGCCCCTCTCATGTTGTCAAGGTGCCCTTCTCCACCTTATTTGCAATACCAAACTCTTACCCACCCACTTAACCAAAAACTTTAAGCTCTTCCTCCTTCTCAAACTAACACTGGTGTTTTTGCTTGTTCATTGCTAGAATGGGTGTGGATGGATTGATCCAGCTGTTCACATATGCACATATAACATTTGATGTCTCAGGGTTGGTTCTTGGGGAAAGGATCACATCGAAAGTGAGTGAGGGGGAAACTCCATCTATAGCAGGGTTTCCAGACGTCCCCATTTCCCAGGGACAGTCCCCGGATTTGTGAATAAGTCCCCGGACAAATTCCATCCCTGGAATGTTCCCTGACTCCAGCAACTAAGCTGTGAAGGGAGGCTTCATGCTGCTTATCAGAGCAGCCTCCCAACGCCTGCTTGCGTGCAAGCAGGAGCGGGGCAGGGATCTCTCTGTTAGGCAACGGGGAGCCTCCCTTCCCAGCTGAGGGATCCCTGCTCCCTCCTGCTTGCACGCAAGTAGGAATGGGATTGGGGCTGCTCTGATGGGAAGGAAGGCATTGCGTTGCCTGAGCCTCGCCACCGCCGCTCTCAGCCTTCCTTCTCCGCTTTCCATGCCTGACCCACCACCGAAGAACCAACAACTCAGGGGCTGCCCAGGCTCATGGAGAAAGGAGATAGATGCCTAGGAGGAAGGGGGAAAGCGGCAGTTAAGGTCAAGGCGGCAGCCGCCCCTCTGCCACCGCCATCGCTGCAGCATCAATGTCCCGAATGTGTAGTATTTATTTATTTATTTAAAGTGTCCCCGGATTCATTGAAAAAATCTGGTAACCTTAGCATTTGTTCTGTAACAGCTGTTCCGCATATGCAAGTGGTGTCTCGGCCATTTAGTGGGTAATAAACATGCACTGGAGAAAATGTCCAGGTGTTATTGGACTACAACTCCCATCATCCATGACAACTAGTGATGATGGCTGGTGTTTATAGGAGTTGCAGTCCAACAACATCTGGAGGACCACAGAGTCCCCATCCCTGCTCTATGTTCAAATGCAGTGTACCTCTGAATGTCAGGTGCTAGAGGCAGGCAACAAGTGAGGTCTTGCTCTGCTGCAAAGCTTCCCAAATTATCACAGCTAAGTGGACCTTTGATCTGATCCAGCAGGAGTCTTCTGTGTTCTTAAATGATGTGGGCAGTCACCTCCACACCTATAACAGGATGCAAAATCACACTGAAGAAAATCTAGCTAGCTACCCGTCGCAACACAGGAAAGTACACACCCTATAATTCCACACACCGAATTCTATCAAAGTCTTCATCTAGGTGTCATAGAAAGGAATATAGAACCAAACTCACTGAATTGTCCCCAAATGTGGTTGAATCAAAGAAAACTACGATAAGTTAGAAACAGATTGTTTTGGGCTTTGTTTGTTGTTTTTTTTAAAAAAAGATATTTTAGTTAGTAGTCAGTCTTCTACCCTCAGATCTTACAGATTAGCATCAATATTCATCCTTATTTATTGCTACAGACGCAGTTAAGTGTTTCCATTTAATCAATTGCTTTGGTTAGTTTTGACACAGATTGACTCCAGTTTAGGCTACCATTAATCTTTTCTGCCTACCACGATAAAGCTCTCTTAAATCCATTGTGCTCACACTACTGACAGATCATTTTTCAACTTCATCCAGCACTGCTCATTGTGGAAGAAGTCTCACTTACTCGGCCAAGGGCACCAAGCAAGTGCACAGCATTTAAAAACCTAAGCAAAAGCCTCATGGCTTAAAAAAAAACAAGCAAACGCCTCATGGCTTAAAAAACAAAAAAAAACCCCTAATTTTTATCCCCATAATAAAACAGACACCCATTTCACACGTAATGCTTCAAGACGCTAGCGCAATCTTCAGGGGTGGCGTGGCCCATTTACCACCTGAAGTGAAATCGGAAGGTGACACTCCCTCAAGCCTTGTTTATCAGGGTCACATAGCAGTGGCGGCTTCCAGCAAGTTCTTCCAGAACTCCAGAAGAAGTGTTAGGTGTGGGTGGGGCACCTATGGGGCCACTGCCCTATGGGATTCTGCCACCTGGGTCAGCTGCTTCAGTCTATCTCATGATTGGGCCATCCCTGGTTCTGTCAACCAAAGCAATATGGCAGGACTTCTTGAGCATCTCATGGCTCAAAATCACAGAGCAAGCCTTGATGTGGAATTCCTGATCCTCGAAATGTGAAACTATTTGAGTAACATTTGAGGAATGAAAGTGCAAGTGAATCACAATCAATTCTGTTTATTTAGCATTCTCAGCCTTGTGCTTTCTCTCTCTTCAATCAGCTTTTGGGAAGTCACCAGTTAGGAAGATCGGCAGCCTTTTGTTCTCACTCCAGCTGCAACGTCACTCTGCTTGAAAGCTCTATTTCCATCTTTGCAGCTTTATAAAAGAGAAACAGCTGCTGGAGGAAGATTGTAAATTAATGGCAGTTTCTTAGCAGGAAGAGAGGGAAAGAAAGAGCAACACAGTCACATCAGGTGGATTTTTCTGTTTTTGTTCTTGCCAGTTAAGGAAGTAGGGTTTAGCACTACTACTTCAACTATACCGTATCTCCCTGCTTGCAGAAATGGCCCTCCTGTTGGGAAAATGAATAAATATAAAGGCAAAAGAAGAAGAGAAGTAATGGATTTGGTGCTAATTGATGCATACATATGTATCCTTTTGAAAGACCTGATAAAACTTCCATGAAGCAACTGAATGTTTTGACGTCAGCTAGGAGCTAATGCTCAAGCTTTCTTCTAAATGTAACTACCAGTGTTTCCATTCATTGGTAGCCAGCCAACAATGTATCAAAGGCTGGGTGGCCTCATTAGTACCAATACCTCTGTAATCCCATGTGTGATGACAGCAAAGCTACTCATCCATACACTTCAATTCTCTATAAAGCTACATGTATTTAGCACATGACCTGGCACATGACTCAGCACTAATAAGAGTATGATCTTACCTTTCTCAGACATAAGCAAGACAAGTACCTCAAGTCCAGCCCAAGTCACTATATCACAGAGTGGGGCAGGGCGGGGGATAAGAAACTTGATTGTAAGTCCAGCTAGAAATAGAACCTCCTAGCCACCTGGACCTCCAAAGCACCAAATATCCGCAAGCTATGCATCTGCACCTTCAGGGACAATACAACTTCCTGGGCATGGGGACCACCTACCAACAGTGACTGCACCTCATCCAGACTATTAACATCTTCAGGAAACAATGGAACAGGGTTCTGCTATTAAATCTAAAATAATTTAACAGCTAAAGTCCATTTGCACACACAGTCACATAGCCCTAGGAAATTCTCCCTTGTTGGTGTTTAAGAACACTTGCAGTTTTTCAATATGACAGCAATGAGCCCTGGAACAACTAAACTGGATTCCTAGGCATTAAATGCTTTTGAAAATACAGTGGTACCTCAGGTTACATACGCTTCAGGTTACATACGCTTCAGGTTACAGACTCCGCTAACCCAGAAATAGTGCTTCAGGTTAAGAACTTTGCTTCAGGATGAGAACAGAAATCGTGCTCTGGTGGCGCGGCAGCAGCAGGAGGCCCCATTAGCTAAAGTGGTACCTCAGGTTAAGTACAATTTTAGGTTAAGTATGGACCTCTGGAATGAATTAAGTACTTAACCTGAGGTACCACTGTATGTCTCCTGCTGCCGGTGCTGATGTAAACCTGATGGGGATTTTTTAAACAATTTCTACATCAACATACAAATATTGTTTTAGCCAATAATTCTAAGTCACCACATTTCTAGTACCTCATAGGGGTTGAATCAAGGCCAATATGTTTGACTGCCCCAGTGGAGGCATGGGTGGACTTCAGGCTTATGGGATCTACTTTGAGTTCTGTTTTTTCAAAATAGTGCCAAGTGAAGGGCAGAGCCAGATGTAAAATGATGGCCTCAGGGATAGAGCTAATTACCCACCATATCCCATGAGTTGTACACTGTGATGATGTACACATACAAGTATGAATCAGTATCTGAGTTACAACAGATACCCACGTTTAAAACATCAATATCAAGAAAGGAAAAGAGTACTAAATAGTAATAGTACAGTGTGGTTTTTCTCTACAGCTTTCTGTGGGGACCAGCTGGTTTTTACAGCAATTAATTCAACTTCGTTTATGCTGTACCACAGATACACAAATAGTAAGCAAAATGTATGTCAGATACAATATGCCAACGGGTATACCAGCAAATGTTTGCACAACAGGAAAGGAGCCCAGTGTTCAAATAGTGAGACTTGGAGTGAGGTTTGAGTGGAAAGTGGAGGGATGTGGAGATCTGCCTCAGGGCCGTCTTAAGCATATCCGGTGCCGTGGTGCAAAGATTCCTCTGGCGCCACCCCACCCCCCCTTTCCCAGAGTTGTTGTCGACCTTTCTTTAGGGAGCTGGCACCACGCTTACACATTATCTCTGCTTGGGAGAAAAAACAGGAAACATAAACAAACTTTTTTATTTGCTCATTTATTAACAGTGCACCGATATATACACCACCACCACATTGATTCTGGCAGATTTAAGACAAATTATCTTCTTATGTAACACCTTGTTTTTAACAATGTTGATTTCTTTTTAAATTCAGAATACAGTGGTACCTCGGGTTACAGATGCTTCAGGTTACAGACTCCGCTAACCCAGAAATAGTACCTCGGGTTAAGAACTTTGCTTCAAGATGAGAACAGAAATTGTGTGGCAGTGGTGCAGTGGCAGCAGGAGGCCCCATTAGCTAAGGTGGCACCTCAGGTTAAGAACGGTTTCAGGTTAAGAACGGCCTCCAGAACAATTTAAGTTCTTAACCTGAGGTACCACTGTACATTCTTGCAGCCCAATGCCAGGTTCCAGGCATTGCAGTGGGTTGGACTAGATGACCCTTGGGTCCCTTCCAACTTACAATTCTAAGATTTAATAAAAGGTCCTCACAACATAATGCAATTTAGTCCCATATGATTAAGCAATTATAAATAAATAAGTCCCCACCCTGAGAATAATGCACTCAGGTAAACTGGTTTGTGCAGATATTTTTGGGTAAGATACTTTGGTCATAACAACAGGCAACATCCAACTAAATCCTACCCTTTGAAATTAAAGTTTGGATTTTTAATTCATTTCAGTGAGTCTACTCTGAGTAGGACTAGCACCCGAGGCAACCGTGTGTGTGTGTGTGTGTGTGTGTGTGTGTAAAAGAGTGGCTGGGGAGACTCAGCCAGATGGGCGGAGTACAAATAATAAATTATTATTATTAGGAGGGCAAACAAGGGCTGAGAGCGAATCTAAAAAGGATGGGACAGCTGCATATTCCTGCAATGCAGAGGGTTGGACTAGATGATCCTTCCATCCCTACAATACTATAATTCTAGGGCAGGCATGTCCAATATGTGGATCCTGAGGTCTATCGTAGGCTCCTCCTCCTTTTGAAGCCGGCTTGCCTACTGGGGGTTAGAGCTCATGGGGAAAGCAAAGAACAACAGACATGGGGAAAACCCTACTTTTACCTTTAGGGGAAAGAAA